GTGTCAAGTGTGCAAGAGCTCTGAACATCCTCCATGTCCTCTCTTCCAGCTCTTGGGGAACGGATCAATGTTCTATGCTCAGGATCTATAGTACTTTGATTCGATCAAAACTGGACTATGGGTCTTTGGTCTATGGTTCCGCCAGGACCTCGGCCCTGAAGATGCTGGACCCCATTCACCATCTGGGGCTTCAGCTCTGCACCGGTGCTTTTCGCACTTCTCCAGTCCAGAGTTTGTACACTGAGTCCCACGAACCTTCTCTTCACCTCCATCATTTGCAACTTTCTTTAAAATATGTTACTAAGCTTCGATCCTTACCACGGCATCCCACCTGGGATTGTGTTTTTCTTCCTCGGTGGGCAATGCTCTTTCAGAACAGACGGTCTGCTTTTCCTCCATTTGGCCTTTGTATCCGGGCATTACTGGCTGAATTGGGTCTGGCATTGGATGACATTGCTGTCCCCAATGATCAGCTCATTCCACCATGGCTTATTACCAGCTCATCCTGTGACCTTTCCTTGAGTTATCTGGGGAAGGCGGATACTCCCGATTGGAAGTACCGTCTTCTTTTTGCTGAACATCTTTCGAACCATTCCTCTCTTCCCATTTACATGGATGGTTCGAAATCAGGTGACTCTGTAGGTTCTGCCATGGTTTGCTGTGGCTCGGTAGTTGCTCGCAGAATCCCCTCTACAGTTTCTGTGTTCACTGCCGAGTTATATGCTATTTCTCTTGCCCTGGATCATGTTGAAGCTATGCAGTACAGTAATTGTACTATTTACACTGATTCTCTTAGCTCTCTACTGGCCCTGGAATCGCTTAACGTTAGTTCTCACTCTGTTCTCGTCGATATTCAACACCGATTGGCCCACTTTTCTCTATCTTCTATTTCCATCCAGTTTTTCTGGATCCCTGGCCACGTCGGTATTCACGGGAACGAGCTCGCTGACACCGCAGCTAAGTCCGTCTGCTCTGGTGCCATCACGGCCGTGCCTGTCCCATACATGGACTACGGTCCTGTCTTCAAGGCACGGCTTCGTGCAAGTTGGCAGTCGACTTGGAGTGAGCAACACCATAATAAGCTTTTCCAGATCAAACCTTCTGTTGGTCTTTGGCCGTCTTGCTTCCGTAAAGATCGGAAGGAGGAAGTAGTCCTGGCAAGGCTACGCATTAACGATGGGTTAAAAAACTATGACCGTCTATTATCAGGTATTGACCCACCGATGTGTAGCCATTGTGACACTCAAGTCACAATAGCCCACATTTTACTGTTGTGCCGTCGTTATGACCATGAGCGGCGGCACCATTTTAGACACATTTTTTCTAAAAGTTTACCCCTGACGCTGGACAGTGTCATTGGTAATGGTGAGACTGTCCGACTAGATTGTATTTTTAATTTTTTACACACTGTACGTCTTTTTAATTCTATATAAATCTTTTACCGACATGTATTGATTTTAACTTGCTGTTTTTTTACATTTTACTTTAATCTACTTTCATTGCTTTTACCGGTTGTTTGGCGCAGATAGCCTAGCTGCTTTGCGCCATAAAACACCAACCAACCAATCCACCATCTGAATAATTCCAACAGACCAAAAATTGATAATTAGGGCTAGTAGTTTGAAAGTTTTGTATATTACTTTATCAAAAGCAGATATTAAACTTGCATGAAAAAACAACTCAATATTTCATTTATAATTTTATTTTGGGTGATATTTATTGTGATACATGAAAGATATTTCAAAATTTGATGTCATTATTTCTCCCCTGGAATGCTCAAGCTAGAAAAAGTTAATATTCGTTCTCTAAGAATTTGGTTTCTTGTCTTTGATTATATTACATAAAAATGATTAAATTTCTGCATGTGGTAAACATTCCCAAAAAGTTGGTTCTTAAGTCTTGTTCATATGGCTTTGTGACTCTTTAATATAAATAATATTATCTAAAAGTGTCTTGTGAATTTCTTTAATATGCTGTAAAGACTGACTAATGTGCATCAAGGTAATACGCTGTAAAGAGGTTATGCTGGGTCTCACCTGTAAACAATAACTTGCTGAGTAGTTTATAATTTTTAAGCTTATCCTAATGCATTGATTTATAATTGCTAAGAAACTAACATCTTTTTGAAATTATAATTACCAGTATTTTGTTTCTTCCATGACTTTTTTATATTTTCTTTCAGATTTTTATTAGTAACACGTCTTGGTTCCCACTCTTTTATGACCTGACAGCAGGTGATTGAGCAACTAATAAAGAAACTGTCTTCAAAATAAAGTTTAAATAACATTGGATAGAGCAGATTATAAACTAGTTGTATCAATGTAGAGTGAATAAAGTGCATGAAAAATTATATTACTGACACAGTTATATAATGTAATGGGAAGTTTAAAAGACTAAGGAACAAACCACAGATTGGAAAGTTTTTTATAGTATATTTAGACATTTTGTGTTCTTGAAAATGTTTTGGGATTACGTTATTTTTTTTTAAGTAATAAACATTTTATCCTGTGATAACTCAGATAAACCTTATTAAGTTGAGAGTACATTAGACAATGGCAAAATAAATTCAGATCCTTATTAAGTGAGTATTATTATGTTTATCACATTCAAAGAACAAAAAAATAAAATATTTTTTAATTTATTGAAAAGAAAGTATATTTATTAGATATCAATCAGTTACAATCAAGAATATTGTTAGCAAAAATATTTTTACCTAGGTTGACTTTCCACCATTTTGATTGGTCAGATTTTCGGTTACGTATTTGTTAGCTTCTGCAGTGTTTTCTTAATGACTTATGGCCAGAAACTGTTACTGCTGTAAACAACAAAATAGTGTCAAAATAATAATAATATTAATGAATATCAAGTTGAAACTGATTGGTTATGTGAAGTAAAACTATGTCAATACTAAAAAAGAATTGAAATTCTGAAATGAAAGGATGTATTTTTAATGTTTTATTTAAACCAAAAATATTGGAAATTTCACAACATGAAAAGCAAAGAAAACTTAAGTTATATTAATTATTTTTTTAACCTTAATCTAGATGATATATATAGTATTAAAATTTGTGTTAAATTACATGTAATTTGGTTAAGTATTCCCACTGTATCAAGGAAGAAATCAAGAGTTAGGAAAGAGCTAATATCCTCTGAAGACAACTACTGTTAATTTGGTTAATATGCTTTAAAGACAGATTGATGAATTTGATCACATCTCCAAAAACAGATATGACCCAAGGATATGGTTACTAAACATAACCTTCAAGGGACTAAGTAGATGTAGATGAAGATTAGCTGTATAGCATTTCACCAAAAGTGATGCTTAGCTCAGTCTGATTGTTTTTAGTTCTATGAAGTACTGAATACAGTTTAAAAACACTTGACTATTTGATGTACTTTTTTGTATAATTTCTATTTCTTATATTTAGAAATGTCTTTATTCTACATGCAGCATATTTGATGTTTTGTAAAGTAATTATTTTATATCTTTCAAACAATGTGCATTATTTTAAGGACTTCCATTAACATGTTGAGAACAGCTTTTGAGAAATGCTCTAAAAAAATTATAAAATTATTTTATATTATTGCTCAGTAAATTTCATCTTATTATTGGTAGGTAAATGCACAGAAAAATAATTTCAACATTGGTTTATGGAACTGTGTTTTTGTTATTTTGATTTCTTCATTAAGTAGTCATGTATTTGTCAAACAATTACATTAAAAAATGAATGATTTACATTGGACTAACTATGCTGAATCAGACACTTTTGTTTGGATCATCAAAATAGTTATTTACTTTTTTTGACTAAAATAACATGTATAAGTTATAAAATGTGAGTGGATGATTTTACAGTTCTGTTGTAAGAATTTGAAATTTGTCATAACACTTAAATCCTATTAAGATTTTACAAAGGATTGATGTATTTTGAAGTCTGGTTAAAGTTGGTTGCTGGTGAAAACAAGGCTATATCTAGCTATAGGTTAAAAGTTCAGTAAATTTTCAGTTGGAATACATGCTGCTAGTCTTATAGTATTGTTCTCAGTTCGTTGTTTATTTTTTCTTTTCTAGATTTTTCATGGTTTTAAAAACCAAGTTGGTGAGGCTAACTGGAAGAGATTTTCAGAACAATTACCAGCCCCTCTGAAGGAAAGATTGTTGGCCAATTATGGTGTCTGAAGCTGAGGTAAAACTATGTTCGTATTAAAAAAAATCATTATACCAAAATGTATAAGACAGTAATTGTTAGACAGAAATAAGCTAACCTGATATTGCTGTATAAGTTTAAAGTAACATTTGTCAGTTTTCTATCAATGTCCATACTCAGAACAAACAAGTTTGAATATTATTGTTTAATATCAAACATACTTTCACTGTACTGTACTGTTCTAATTTATGGTGCATTTTTTCACTATACTGTACTGTTCTAATTTATGGTGCATTTTTTCACTATACTGTTCTAATTTATGGTGCATTGTTTCACTGTACTGTACTAATTTATGGTGCATTGTTTTCACTGTACTGTACTAATTTATGGTGAATTGTTTCACTGTACTGTACTAATTTATGGTGAATTGTTTCACTGTACTGTACTAATTTATGGTGAATTGTTTCACTGTACTGTACTAATTTA